TCCTGTAGTGTGGACTGCCGCTTTGCATCTCCCCCAAACTAACTGACCTCCCTGCAGGGGTCAGATTCTGTTACTGTTTAAGTACCTGCCCCAAGGATGTAGCATCAGAATAGCCAATGCATGCCTCCATTGAATGGTGTCTGCTGAGTCACTGAGATCAGTTACAGACAATGAAACCGTCTCTGTGGAACTGGAAAGGAACCCTGGTGATGCAATAGTTAAGCTCTTGGCTGCTAACGATGAGGTCAATGAGGTCGGTGGTTTAAACCCACCAGCTGCTCTGCAGGAGAAAGATGTGACAGTCTGCTTCTGTAATGATCGCAGCCTTGGAAGCCCTATGGGGCTTGTAGGGCCACTAAAAGTAAGAAGTGACTGGGCGGCAACAGGTTTTATCAAAACAGCAGAGGCTAGGGGCAAATTGGAGGGAATCTGTTCATTCTAAGCATCAGTCTGGAGAGATGTACAGGGGTCTTAAAAATTATCCTACCCCCTTCCAAGACTAAGACTCAATGGGAATACACACTCTGATTGGTGACCACGTTCATCACTGATAAGGGGAAGTGAGGGAAAAACAGCAATGAAGCTGCGAGCTAAGCCCTACAACATTCAACAGACTCTTGTGAACCCGGTTGGAGACCTGGTTGGCCAGCAGTGTGGCAAGACCTGGGGATTCTTGGGCCCAGAGTCACTGACATAGCCACAGAGGACTAGAGTGGAGAGTGAAGCATCCAGCTGATAAGAAGAGAGGGCAAATGCACAAGAACACTCACACTTGTAGATAATACCCACTTGACCTAGCTTTAATCAGAGCTCAACCAGAAGAAGAAAGAAGAGGAAAAAAAGAGTAATCTCTTTTACAATTTGATGAACTTGACCTACACCTATGGATGTAGTAGCTCAAAAGAGGGAAAATTTTTTTACAGCAAGAATCATTCCCACCCCTTCCACACACAGAGTAGACAGGGATGGGCAACTTGGACACTGGCTACCCAAAATGGGAGGGCTACGAAGGCAAGAAGTGACTGGTTTACAAGCTTTCAAGAGGGAACCTAGATCCAGAGGGCCTGGAGGAAGGTAAAATCTCCACTGAGGAGTATCCAATCTGTCTAGGTGGGGCTGATGAAAGGAAATGTGGATGGATCTCTCGTGATACAATAGTGAATAATTGTTGTCAGGACTGATTGTGAGGGTTGGAAATGTAAAGGTAGACGTTTTGTAGCAAGGAGAGAGTGAATAACTTTGCAGTCTAGGAGCAGAGGTCCCTGGGACCACCAAAGGAAAAGAGCGGAGAACGGGACTCTACCCAGAGGAGCAGTGACGCCAGAGATGATGACGTGGAGAGATGGAGCAGTTGGGGACTCTAGACCCATAGAGAGAGAGGGGCTGTGTGCTGATGACCAGGGGGCAGGTTTGTAGAGTATTACCCTTTGGTTGGTTGATGATGCATGGAGGAGATTATAACCACGGCAATGAAGCGATATACGATAGGATGAATGTAAAACTAATGTTTTCCCATGTAAACCATCACATAATTCACAATAAAAAACATTAAAAAAAAATTATCCTCAAGGACTTGCCCTTTATACCAGGAGCAGTGTGAGATATGGCAGGTTCTGGGCAGGAGGCAGGTCAGGGTAAGGTTTGTGTTTTAGAGAGGTCCTTCTGGCTGCTGTGCAGGGGTTTTATTGAAGAGGGCAAGACTGGGGCCGAGAGACCAGGAAGGAGGTTGGGGCAGAAACCAGGTGAGAGAGGCAAGAGTGAACTGAGGCAGCGGTACTAGGAAGGAGAAGAAGTAGAAGGTCCCAGAGGCAGACCTGCTTCGATTTTGCTTTTGGCCAACCCTGCCCAGCCACCTTAAGTACGTACAGTTACCAGTCAACACAGACAACACAATGGACCGCATTTCTCAGCATCTGCCATTAATTCACTTACTTATCAAAATGCAGATCTGATCAAGTGGGTGGAACCTCTAAACTTGTCTGAAATATTTTATAGTAATTTTTTTTAAAGGGAGACTTTATGAAAATCATAAGAATGATTCCTTTAAAAAAAAACAAAAAAACACAAAAACTCTGAAAGGCAAGTCCGTGAAAGTACCAGAACATGGAACAAAGAGGAATGATGTACAAATAGGAAAGTCAAGAGACCTTGTGGAGCCACCGCTGACTGTGAAGTGTTCCAGAAGAGAATAAAGAGAAAAGGGAGAGGAGGAAATGTGGAAGACAAGAAAAATGCTCAGGACAAAAGAGAAACTGGATTTAGATAGATAATGACAAGTAAGGGAAATGCGAGAAACCCACTTGGTGCCATGCCAGTGCCACTGAGATGAAGAAAAGCCCCTCTTCCCACTCCAGGCCGCCAAACATCGGAGGGAATGGAATTTCCAGTCATTGTGTGCCTCAAAAGTATCATCTAGTTTATTGTAAAGGTGGAAAAATATATTTCACACATGCAAGGATTCAAAACTCTTACCTACCAAGCAACCTTCCTGAAAAAGATGCTAAAGGACGTATTTCAGCAAAACTAAAGTGGAAATCAATGAAGAGGAGGCCATGGGTGTCCCTCATTGTGAAGAACTTTTGAGAGGAACCCCTAGCAAGAGGCCACTGTGTTCACAGCCAGGAACAAGATTGGATCATCCTGGTTACGTGGTGAGTTAGGCAATTGTGGGTCACATTAGCAGTTTGAGAATCACCACTTTAAGGAAAACTAAAAGCTTCATACAGTAAAATCAAGGTCTAAATTTGAGAAAACTAAGATGTGGTACAAAGCAAAGCAACTGGTGAGTGTTTAGAGATGCCATTTATGTAAATGTTTCAAGTGGCACAGGTTTAGTGACATGAAATTCTTTCTTCATATGGATCCATGGTGATCGGTGTTTAGATCATTTCAATATATACATTTTCAATGTTTTATTTTTTAGACACAAAAAACACTAGAAACTTATAACCTAAAGACACTCTGTTGTTGTTAGTTGCCATCGAATCAGTTCCGACTCATACTGATTCTGTATAGGGTTTTCAGGGAGCGGGTGGTGAGCTTGAACCTCTGACCTTGTGGTTCAAACCAACTTTGTAGTCCAGCACATTAACCCGCAGTGCCACACCAGGACTCCTTGATGTGGTAAACAATAGTATAGCTCTGGACTGCGAATCACAAAGTTGGCAGTTCAAACCCACTAGCACCTCCTTGGAAACCCTATACAGGGTCACTATGAGTCGGAACAAACTCAACAGTACTTAACAACAGACAAATCATAGGAGGTGAAATGGAGGAAGAGAGTGGCGGTCAGGTAGGATAGTCCATATGCTTATCAGGAAGTTGAGGTAATAGACATATTATTTAGAATATGAATCGTGCTGCTAACCTCATGTAAAGATTTACCTCCTCAGAAACCCTGTATAGGTTTGCTTATGAGTCGGAACTGACTCCACGGCACATAACAACAACAACAATGTTAACATGGAGTCCTGGTGTGGTGTAAAGCACTGGACCTCAAGGTCAGTTTAAACCACAAGGTCCGTGGTTCAAACCCACCAGCTGCTCCTTGGAAACCCTCTGCAGGGTCACTATAAATCAGAACCGACTCCACAGCGCTAAACAACATTACTAAAAAGTGGTACAAAATAAAAGTCATTTGTAAAAATTGGAAGGATGGAGGGAATGAAATAGAGTGAGTATTCCATATATTTCACTGTGGTGGAAAATCAATTCACAGTGTTTTTTCATTGTGGTAAATATATATATATGAAAACATTTGCCATTTCAACACATAATGTTTTTTAAAATTCTATTTAACCAAGCAAGAAAGAGGGGTATAAACTTACTGTTTGTTACCAGAAGGTTAAAGTAGAAGAAATAAATATACAAAAGCTACAAAGTGTTTAATCTTTCAGGAACAGGACTAAAATTGAAGGTGAGGCCAACTCCTGCCTTTAAATTTACTCCTTGGACCTATAACCACAAGGTAGATGGTTTGAGCCCACCAGCCGCTCTTCCTGAGCAAGAGGAGGCTTTCTGCTCCCATAAAGATTTACAGCTCCAGACACCCTATAAGAGCTCTGGTAGCGTAGTGGTTACGAATCGGGCTGCAAACCGCAAGGTCAGCAGTTCGAAACTACCAGCTGCTCCGCGGGAGAAAGATGAGGCTTTCAGCTCCTCTAAAGATTTACAGCCTTGGAAACCCTGTTCTGGGGTCGCTATGGTTTCGACTCGATGGCACTTAACAACATAAGGAGTCCTGATGTGGTGCAAGATCAGCCGTTCAAACCTACCAGTTGCTCCTTGGAAACCCTATATATAGGGGTCGCTATGAGTTGAAACAGACTCAGCGGCACTTAACAACAACCTAGGGTTCTAGCGTTTCTGAGAGTAGAGCTGGTGAGTTTAAAACTCCAATCTTGCCAAGAGCAATCCAGTACTGAATTCTACAGCAGACGGTGCGCCAACTTCCTCTTTGATGGAGTGGTTGGGGGGAGTCCGGCTGACCCTGGGCACCGCTGTGAGTCTCAGTGTGTGTGAGTTACGTAGGAGCCCTGCTTTACACCTTCCGCGAACTCCACGCTCTGGGAGCTTCAGTGATTCCTTCAGGGATCTGGTCTGAGTGCTGCTCCTCAGAATCTTCTGGGGTCAAAGGCAGGTTTAGTTTTAAAGCGCCCCACTACCACCCCCAAAGGAGCTCTGCTAGTGTAGTGGTTACTATTCGGGCTACTACCCTCAGGGTCGGAAGTTCGAAACTACCAGCTGTTCCCCGGGAGAAAGATGAGGCTTTCTGCTCCCATCAAGATTTACAGCCTCAGAAACCCTATGCAGGGTCGCTATAAATTGGAACCGACTCCACGGCATAACACCACCCCCACCTCCTACTACTGCACCTCACTCCACCCTAGAGATCCCGGCTAACGCGTCCCCACTGAAGGGGAGACCGAGACGAGGAGGGGCGGGGCTTGCAGAGGACTTCAGAGCAGGGCCTGACCCCTGTCTTTCCCACAGTGTATCACTGGGTGGAGATGCGGACCAAGATGCGCATCATGGGCTTCCGGGGAGCAGCCATCAAGCCCTTAAATGAGGTGGCGGCCGCCGAATTGGGTGCCGAACTGCTGGGGGAAGCCACCATCTTCATTGTGGGCGGCAGCTGTCTGATGCTCGAGTTCTGGCGCCACCAGAGGCACCAACGCCAGAAACAGCTGGAACGGAGCGCCGCCTGGGCCACGCTGCAGGACGAGGTGGATCACCTGTCGCTCGTGCTAGAGGCCCTGCAGGCACAGGTGCAGGCCGTACCATCCCAGAGCGCCCTGGAGGAGCTGCGGGCACAGCTGCAAGATGTGCGCACCCAACTCCAAGTCAGAGATCCGCCTCCCGAGCCCCAGGCACCACCCATGCTCTGGGCACCACCCCCAGCCACGCCTCAGGCTCCACCTGGGCCGGAAGCAAAGCCTACAGAATAGAGGAAGCCTCAGGGTTGCGGTTCTTGGTCCAACTATTGTCTGGACTTTGACATTAGACATGGCATTCTCTGTGCACTATCCCTTCCCGGGGGGGGGGGGGGCGGACTCTGAAGGCCCATCCACGTCCCTTTGGGAGCAAAAGGGATTCTGGACTGAGACTGATTGTACAGGCATCTGGTAACCTCCTTAGTTACCACGAACCTCCTTTTTCCTGGTGGAAAGTTCCAACAGGGACACTACCCCCCAGCCCCAGTGTGCACATCACAACTGGGCCCTGTTAACTCTTTTGGTAAAACAAACTTGCCGTCTAAACGTGAACTTGTCCAACCTGGTCACTCACTCTCCCATTTCCCTGAGGGGTGCTCCCTTCCCTGGAATACACAAGATACTATTATTACCCCCTCTTCCTCATTGGTACAGTCCATTGTAATGAAATGGCAGAAACTTACAATGGACTTCTTTATCTTTATAAAAACAAGGATCTTGGACTGCCTTAGCTCCCAGTGAGTCACTCTGGCGTACTCACTTTCCACCTGTATCCTCCCCTACCTAAGTGGGTTGTCCCAACAGAGTTCTTCCCGCTCTTTTACTTTGTGGCAGCCCACCGGAATGGCAGGGTCTTCATTCAAACCAGTCTCCCATTTGTGGGGCTGTCTTCCAACAGAACATGACCTCTTGAGGTGGTCCTGACTTGGGCTAGTCCATCCTAGCTTCCTATTTAGAAAATTGTAGTCTTTAGACCTTGCTAGCTTCCTTACCCCGCCCCCCCCACTACTCCGGTTAGATTGCACCCACCCCTTTAACACTGTGATATCATCTCTGACCATTTAATAACAATCTCATTTCTCTGACAGGAAAACAGGTCAGGGGCAGAGTGGAAACTCAAGTCTTATCTCAAAGTACTCAGGAATCCCCTTCCTTCCGGGTTTGGGACTATCTGCCCTTCATCCTGAGCTCCCAATCCCAACAAAATGGAATATTCCATCAGTCAGTGTTACCCACCCTACCGCTGTGAGCCTACTACTGAACCACTGAGGGGGTGGGAGAATGTTATGAGCTTTTGAATTCTATTTTTTTAGGCTGTAAATGTTTTATAATTAAAAGCGTGCTGGGGTGAAGAAGTCATCTTAAGAATGTGTTTGAGAACCACGATGTGCTGCTATTGCACACTGGGCACAAACCCCTTTCAAAATGGGAGGTGCTGGGAGTGTTCTGGTGGGGAGGGGGCAGAGTCCGCAGAGGAGCTTTTGCCTAGTGGGGAAACTGAGATCCAAGGAAGCAAAAGGACTTTTCCCAAAGGCCACACAGCTGATGAGGAACCGCTAGGCTTCTTCCTCCTAGGTTCCTCCTGGGTGGGGAGTAATTGGAGTAGGGGGTGGAAGCTGCTTGGTAAGCAGCAAGGGAAGAGAGCAGGCCCAGATTATATTGGGTTGTGGGCTAGGAGGAAGACGTTGAAAGCAAGGCAGATGACCGACAGAGGATTAGGTTTGACAGGGAGAGCCAGGCAATACCAAGGAAGGGGAACCCCATCCCAAATCCTCATCAGAGCATCAAATCACACCAAAGACCTTCCCGTTTATAAAAACCGGCCGATTTATTCTGCAGGGGCCCATTGTCAAGAAGCGCAAAGTGAAGGCGGGAGAGGCCAGGCTTCCCTCCCCTAAATCTTTCTTCCTCCTCTTATTTGCCCCAGGGGGTAAAAAACGGCCTGCCCCCCCAAACCTACCCAAATAAAAAATAAAAAAAAAACAAAACTGAGGTTCCAAAAAATTACAGCATCTCAATTCCTTATAGAAAAGGGGAGGGGGCCAGAGGTAGGGGGGGTTCCCTGGATTTGGGTGAGGGGCCCCTAACCTAATGGGACACCCCCTTTTAAATAGCTGCCCCAAATAGGACAAACCTGGGGCGACTGCATTTAAAAACTCCCCAGACCCCATTTTATCAAAACCAAAGAGAAAAAAATTTTCCCTCCCTACCCTCCTCCCCAAAACCCAAATATATATATACATATTGAAGTACTAACCCTGGGTATCTCCAGTTGTGATCTTAGTTGAAATAGGATCCTTGCAAATGTAATCAGTT